ACACACACACACACACGTGGTTACGTTTAGCCAACACACACACATGGTTACGTTTAGCCGACACACACGTGGTTACGTTTAGCCAACACACACACACACACACACACACACACACACACACGTGGTTACGTTTAGCCAACACACACACACACACACACACACACGCGGTTACGTTTAGCCAACACACACACACACGCACACACACGTGGTTACGTTTAGGAAAAAAGAACAGGGTTTGGCTTTACAGTCTTACAGGAAGTGAACACCGGTCTCCTGGGTGAAACTCAGTTGTTGTCACACCGTGTTTACCCCTGACGCCACTGGGCGCCGTTAAACAATCATTGCAATCAGTCACGTATCATGCCAATGTGAAAGGACAGCTTTTATCGTGGGTGTCTGACACTTCAGACCCAGCTGTAAAATTAGGCAGTTAAAGTGTGTATTGATATCAGTTATAGGCCATAGAAGTTGTTATATATCAGATATCGGCATAAAATCCAATATCGTGCATCCCTGCAGTCACAGTCGTGTTGGGGTGAGACAAAGAAAATGCAAACATATTTAGCAGCGACAGAAGCAGCAGCAGTTTGACTGATGATAAGATGAGACGTTTCAGTCAAGCCCAGGAGCCAATATCTCACCAGATCTCTCAGTTATATATAGGTGCTGTTGTATAGATCAACACTAACCCACCTGCTCCTGAGACTAAGACCCCCCCCCCCCCTCACCCCCACCCACCCCGTGGTTACATTCAGCACTTTGGGAATAAGACAGTCAATATTTCAGGAACTTTCAGCCTCTGTTTCTCTGTGGGAGCCGACACTGTGAGACTGTGTTATGTGTTTTGATCCTGGGGCCCATTAAACCTGCTGAGCCGATAAAGAACCACAAACACATTTAATCTGAGTAAAAATATAATTATCTTAAAACTGCTGTAACAAGAGTTTTATTTTCTTTGTTGCAGTGATATTATATTTCACACTGCTGCACTGTCTGAAAAACACAATCAATAGACTCTACAGTCGCTGGCTCCTCTTAATAATGTGTGAAAGCAGAATTTAAAGCTGTGTGCATTAATTTAAAGCCTGACTAATCAATATGAACACATGTAATATGAAGCTTTAATGTGGACGCTGCAGGGGATTGTTTCTGTTTTAGCTTCTGCAGCTCACAGTTTGGTGTGAGAGACATGTTGATAAAATGTGAATATGGTAGCGTTCAAGTATCATGATGCATTCACAGTGTTAATGAATGAATGGATTTGGTGGAGGTCACACCTGCAGCAATACAATATTGAACATCAGTCATTCAACACCAATACAATATTAATGATCATTAAAGTATCAGACCTCATTAAGAAAACATTTTTGCGTGGCGTTAGTGTAAGAATGATTTGACTCCCAATTTGGAAAACATGATACCCAGTCCCACTGTACTGTGATGTCACCTGCTAGATTGAAATAAATATATAAACCATGTGTGAAAAAAATTAACGCAGCCACCATGATGTCACCCACTGTTTTGTGGACTCCTGTTTTAGGCTGAATCCAAATGTTTAGACTCTACCACACTTGCAGGCTTGCGGACTTTGTGGACGTGTTCCCAGGAAGTCTGGGAGTGCTGAGGGCTCCAAATCCACAATTCATCCAGTCCACAGGGGCCTCAGGCGGACGCTATGCAGACCCCCAGAGAGTCCGCTTGGGGTGCAGACTTCACTGATTTAATAACCCACAATTCATTGGAACACTGTCATGACGTTGTGGTTTTTTCAACTGCCAAAACAAACCAACAGCTTATGAATGTGTAAAATAGTTGTTGATAGTTAGGTCTGTTAAAATGTTACTTGAATTTGTCGGTCAGAAATAATATTTAACCACATCATGATACAGAGATATGTTTCAGTGCAGGGACTGAAAATGTGTTTTATTATTTCAGCCTATCAGACTGTGCTGAGAGAGAGGCAAAAAAATGGCCGAAACACAACAAACGTAGGTGTTTTAAGTAGGCCGACGCTAATTATTGAGTTATAGTCCTATCCTTATGTACAGGTATTTCTGATTCTGCAACCATAGAGATGTACTGTATGAATATATTTGTGTTCAGTCACAAAAAAGGCTCTAAATGGGATAGGGCTGCCACGATTAGTCGACTAATCGATGACTAATCGATTATTAAAATAATCGGTGACTATTTTAGTAGTCGACTAATCGGTTTGAGTCATTTTTCATAGAAAGGTACTATAAAAGTACCCAAAATACTCTTACTGCAGCATCTTTCGTTCAGATATTGGCAGCTTTACACACTCTCCCATGACAGTGAACTAAACCCTTTGGCGTGAGTATGAAACAAGACATTAGATGACGTAATTTTGGGGTTTGGGCGAGACAGACCGACATTTTTCAACATTTTAACACATTTTTCGATGAAATGATTAGTCGACTAATCGAAGAAATAATCGACAGATTAGTCGACAATGAAAATAATCGTTAGTGGCAGCCCTAAAATGGGATTTATATCTTGTTATCTGCAGGTACAGATGAGCTCACACTGTTCATCAACTTATGACACATAGATGAATATGATAGCAGCGATGGTTGAATGTTTCCATGGCAACGAGTAAAACAGTCTCAAAGCCTGTCTATCAGCCGCTTGCAGTCTATGCAAGCGCAGACTTTACTTGATGACAGTAAATACATCACACTGCGCAGGTCCAGAGGGCAGACGTTTGGATTCAGCCTCTGGCATTTTTGCCGTCCGAAACGTAGAGCAAGTGTATAGGGAGAGGATGTAGAGGCTGGTTTGGGAGAGGGTGTAGGGGCTGATTTGGGAGAGGGTGTAGGGGCTGATTTGGGAGAGGGTGTAGAGGCTGGTTTGGGAGAGGATGTAGGGGATGGTTTGGGAGAGGGTGTAGGGGCTGATTTGGGAGAGGGTGTAGGGGCTGATTTGGGAGAGGGTGTAGAGGCTGATTTGGGAGAGGGTGTAGAGGCTGGTTTGGGAGAGGATGTAGGGGATGGTTTGGGAGAGGGTGTAGGGGCTGATTTGGGAGAGGGTGTAGGGGCTGATTTGGGAGAGGGTGTAGAGGCTGATTTGGGAGAGGATGTAGGGGATGGTTTGGGAGAGGGTGTAGGGGCTGGTTTGGGAGAGGATGTAGGGGCTGGTTTGGGAGAGGATGTAGGGGCTGGTTTGGAAGAGGGTGTAGGGGCTGGTTTGGGAGAGGATGTAGGGGCTGGTTTGGGAGAGGATGTAGGGGCTGGTTTGGGAGAGGATGTAGGGGCTGGTTTGGAAGAGGGTTTAGGGGCTGGTTTGGGAGAGGATGTAGGGGCTGGTTTGGAAGAGGATGTAGGGGCTGGTTTGGGAGAGGATGTAGGGGCTGGTTTGGAAGAGGGTTTAGGGGCTGGTTTGGGAGAGGATGTAGGGGCTGGTTTGGAAGAGGGTGTAGGGGCTGATTTGGGAGAGGATGTAGGGGCTGGTTTGGGAAAGGCCCTGAAATAGTGAGAACTAACACAAGGCTTACATTACTGACCCAACTGTGTCATTGTAGTAGTGATTTGTCAACTGACGCCACCCACAGAGGCCCCGCCCTTAATTATACATAACTTAAAGCCTTAATAAAATGTAAATGGATGAGTGATATAAAAATCCATCCCTAGTGCAGAATGTTGAAATTAGGTGCAGAGATCAAAACCTTTTCTGTACCAGGCTGTAAACATGTTTATTTCTACATGTTAACATGGGGGTCTGTGGGGGTTGACTCGCTCTTGGAGCCAGCCTCTGGTGGACATTAGAGGAACTGCAGTTTTTCAGCAGCGGAGGTTGACACTAAACACAAACACAAAAAAAGCATCTGTGTATTTCCTTTTTTGTTTGTTTGTTTGTTTTGATTTTGGTTTACCTGATCTGAAACTACATGTCTGCACCCTTGTGGAGTCCAAATCAGATTTAAAAGGAAATTGGGTCTATATGACTTATATTCATCAGGTGTCCAGGCTCATGACTCTGATGATGATTTTGCTTTGTCGGCCAAACAATGAATCACTGCAGCTTGAAGTAAAATAGCTCCACTGAACTGACACAGACTTGATTAGACCTAATTATTTTTTTTGCCATGTTTGTACCTTTGTTGGACGGTTGGTCCGAGGATGCTCAGCAGAGACATCAGACAGGAAATGAGAGAGAGAGAGAGAGAGAGAGAGAGAGAGAGAGAGAGAGAGAGAGAGAGATGTGGGAATGACTTGCAACAAACGTACCACACACATATTGTGGTTCATGGTCAGCGTTTTACTCCTCAGGCGCACCGCTGCCTCAGACCTCTCCTCTCTGCTGTGTGTGTGTGTGTGTGTGTTTTTATGTGCTCATACAAATGCACGCTTCAGTCCCTGCAGGCATGCATGTGTGGTGTGTGCTCCGTGTGTGTGTGTGTCTCAGATCACATGCCGGCTGCAAGAATGGATCCACAGTGATGAGACAAAGGAATGAAGGAAAAGTATTCTGTGTGTGTGTGTGTGTGTGTGTGTGTGTGTGTCCCTGTGGTCCAGGGGTTCAGGTGTTAATGTCCGCTGATGTGTCTAATTGGAGGATTGGGGAGAGGAGAGAGGAGAGGCATTGATTTGGGTGTTTGGAGGGTAGAAAGATGATGGAGGGGGAGGAGGAGGAGGAAGAGGAGGGTGGGTGGTGGGCATAGAGAGGAAGACACAGCAGGAAGCAGAGAAGCATGTGAGCCGGCGAGGGAAGGATGAGGAGGAATGAATGACAGAGATGCTGTAAGGAGGCAAGAGCTCTGCCAGAATTACAATTTCCACCCTTATCGCCTCCTTTTCTTTCTCCATCCTCTGACTTCTCCTCCTTCACACACTGACTTCCTCTTTCCAACATCCTCCTCCTTCCTCCTTTCTCCATCTCTTCCTCCCATTCCTTCCCTCTTCTTCCTCCCCTTGTCCTTCCCTTTTCGCTCCCTCCCTTCTCTCCCCCTGCGTACCGCTGTCTCCTCTTCCCTCCACCAGCTGCAGTGCAGAGATCTCCGCCGAGGCCCCCGTCAGGCTGTCAGGTGACCGGGACGGAGGCTGTGACATCACCGCCCCCTCGACCGACTGTCAGCCCTCCGCCGTTGCCATGGCAACGTCGGCAACGGCCTGCGGAGCCGAGGCTGGCGACGAGACGCCTGCAGGAGGAGGAGGAGGAGGAAGAGAGGAAGCAGGAGAATGTGTAAGGATTTTCTTTTTTCATTTTTCCTTTACATGTCTGAAATGTGTCGTCCGTGCGCGTCTCTGCTCGCCGCCTTTTTCGCCGTGCACAGAAACACATAGATCTGCTGGCATTCAAGGATGACTGGGACAAGCAAGGGGACTGCGACACACATGCACATCACTCACACACACTGATGCAGAGGTATTTGTTGAGGGACAGGAACGGGCATGCAGCGCTCGGTCTTCTCAGCAACAGCTCGACGTGTGAGGATGCAGCAGAAAGAGGATTAAGCCCCCGACAGCAGCCGGCTGCTGGTAACTCAGCGCTTCATTCCTGCTCTCTGCATGGCTCCTCTCCGCTGGCTGCAGCTTGACACCAGCCTCAGCTGCAGCTAGCATTGTGCTTCTCTCTGCAGCTGCAGAACACAAGACACTGACATGGAATCACATTTTGTGTGCATGCTGCAGAGCTGTAGGTAGTTTAGGGAACAGATGTCGAGGTGTCGATGCTTTTCTTATTTTTCTGGTTGTGAATCCACAGTGGAGCCTGCTGCTGCATTCCCACAGCCACAGCTGCAGTTTGATCATTCAGCCCAACATGAATTATTCTCTTTCATTTTACCTGATTGCTGCGAGCTGTATCTCATGTTGTTTTCTGCTACAGAGCGATGATGATGATGATGATGATGACGATGATAGAGCCTCCCTGCACCTCTCAGTCATGTGTAGCTGTTAGCTGAGAGACAACGTCAACATTAGGGGAGCTGTCTTTCACGTAAAGCCGATATCATCACATGCAGCGGATGTGGGTGATGCCTCTGGGGTCATGTGTCGTAGTGATGACCTTTGAACTTTCCACCTTAGGTCAGCACTCAGGGGCTTCACAGACCCTGACGGGATTTTAAAAGCCACGTGAGGAGTGTGTGTCCGTGCAGGATGCTGCAGTGTGTCGGGGAATTCCTCGCCTCCCCTCAGTAAAGATCCAGGAGATGCTTTGAGTTGTGACTCGGGGGACGTCTCTCATCTTCAGGCTGGGTGGTTTCAAGTTGTGATAAGAGCAGATCTGTGGATGTGTGGCCGTGTTGTGTTTAGACTCCGTTACAGAACTTGGCAGACGATTAGTGCTGCGTCTCAGTATGAAATTTGGATTCTTGTCAGTAGCTGGGATCAGAGAGATAACCAAGATGTGTTATGTAATGATGTCATGACAGCGAACATGGTGACATAAAAACTCCTCACACAGACGCACACACGAGCTGCGATTTCTCTCTCTCATCGTCACTCTAACCTTATGTCCTCCGAGAGTTCTGCCCTTCTTCATCTGTTGCTATGGCAACATGACCACTTGATTGACACACGTGTCCTTCCAACTGGCAGCACACCGGTCTGGGCTGCAGGCGCTCCAGCTCGGACGCAGCTTATGAGCTGGCTGAGACGGTGAGGGCGCAGCGCGAGTGCCGTCTCCGGCCCCACTACAGCGACCCCATGCCAGCCGACGCCTCCAAGCGCAAACAGCTGGAGATGAAGATCGCTGCAGCCGCCCGATTCCACGGCCACCGCAGAGACCGCGACAGAGACCGAGACAGAGACAGTGGTGAGTACATGACACGTGTGTGGCAGCTGTTTGTGCCTGTTAGTGTGTTTGGCCTGTGTTCTGTGTGTAATCTATTACATTTGTAATCACAGTTCAGTAACGTATCTGAGGGGCCATAATTCAAGGCTCCACAAACACTACCAGTTGTCATTTAGAAACAGAAAATATTTGCAAATTATTAATCTTCATCTGGACTCAGATCTCCTTCAGAAACAGTTATGATGATCGGCTGATGGTTAAAAATCCTTAAAGGGGCAGGCTGTGAGGACTGCAGATTGCAACCAGCTAAACTTCTCCCACTTAGAATTCCATCAGTCTTCATCGTTGAGGAGGTTTTTACTGGGAGCTGAATTATCCGCAGAGCAGTGTTTCTCCTACACTGTTTGGCTCGTCACAGACAGACTGTTAGCCCAGCGCCTGCTTTTGTATGCTCATCTTTTTTCTTTGATAACTTGAGATGCAGATGTTCAGGAGGTTCTTAGCAGGAGCTGAATCATCCGCAGAGGTCTCTTCCTCTCCAACACAAATGGACCAGGTGATTTAAACTGGTCAAACACAAAATTAAGCAGTTTCACATTAAAAATCTGTGTTTTTCTGATGCTATTCGCCTCTTTGTGGATGTGAACTACCTCACTCAGGGGTCAGTAATCTTTACTATTAAAACAGATCTGAAAAAATATTTCTCTGGCCAAAATTGTCTGTCTGTAGCCACAGACTTTGAGCTCTATAGTGACGGCAGCAAACTCAATTAGCCTGTAAACATCCTAACAGGTCTAAATGAACATTCATTCAGATGTTTTACAACAAACAGCTCCTCTGTTTGTTGTAACAACTCATTTGGCCAATAACTCATACTGATATCAGAATGCAGTTTAATCAAAAAGCTCTAATGTGAGTGTTCGATGTGTTTCCTTCATCTAACTGTTGTAATGTTCATGAAATGAAAGAAATTTAGACAAAACTCCACAGAAAATGAATGTTATCACATCTTAATGTTACATTTTGTGATCAAACAAGACCTGATGTGCACTACGAAGGACAGATGATAAAGAAAAGATAAAATGATTTGCTATGAAATGTTTCCTGTAACCCAAAGACTTAATCTGAAAAATATAATTATCAAAACCTTTTTTCTTCTGGGTCTCAGGAGGACGTAGGTTTGGATTCATCTTGACAAGGAGCAGCTCCTAATAGAGTTTCATGTTTGTTTGTTTTTTGTTTGTTTTTTCTGTGACAAAGCGACCAATGAAATCTTGCTGACTAATGACTTAACTGGTCGACTGTCAGGTGGCGGCCCTACATGTTTCTCTCCTTACCTTTGTGGCGGCGTCACAAACACCAGCCGTTTTATAGTTTGCATCGTTATTTAAAGATTACAGACATTAAGAGCTGCATGTGTTTTGTTTCTCTGATGCAACTTAGTGTCACGCTTGTCTCTCAGTAGTTTGGCCTTTGCCCCCGGCCCTCACCTCCCCCACCAAACACACACACACACACACACACACACACACACACACACCCAGAGTTCCCCTGTGGATACTGTGCTCTTCCTGTCAACAGAAGCTCTCTGACACTGGTCACAGGACGTCAGTCAATATGTCAGCTGCTAACAATGAATCTGCTGCTCTCGGAATATTTCAGTGATACGGAGCAGAAATATTTTTACCTCAGAGCCAAAAAAACGATCATCATCATCATCATCATCATCATCATCCTGTGGTGCCATGTTAATATGTAATTAAGACAGCACCTGGATAATTAGGGAGGTGTTTGAATAAAACATTTGAAACTTTGTCTCAGCCGCTCAGCACACACACACACACACACACGTGCACAAGAGTATCGACACACACGTGGACAAAGGTTGTGTCCTTGACTCGGAGGTTAGGGATCAATGATTGGAGGAAGATGATATCTATAATACTTCCTTAATTCTGACACGACCAGTAACGACTAGTCCAGATTAAATGGGCGTTCATTAGGGAGGCTTTTAATGCAGTGTGTGTGTGTGTGTGTGTGTGTGTGTGTGTGTGTGTGTATGTAGTGTGGATAACTGAGACAGATCCATAAACATCATGAGCACTAATGACTCTGACCATCTCCCCCTCTCTCCTGTCAGCTCCAGCAGCGATCCGTGGTCGATCTGAGCCCCCTGGCGAGGAGCGCCAGGCCGGTCTGGGTGTGACCCGGTCCGGTCAGCACCGCTGGAGCACCATCAGCAGCCTGAGTGTCGACAGCGGAGTGGTGGGCCTCAGCGATGAGCGGGAAGAGGAGGACAGCGAGCCTCGCCGTTACCGCAGGAACCGAGGAGCCGAGGTGGAACGGGTGGACAGCGGCATTGGCCCAGGTCTGTCTCGCACCTGGAAGAGACCGTCCGCCTCCCTCAGAGCCTGGGAGGCCCAGAGACCCTGTCCAGACTGCGGACTGAGGGACGGGGCCTCCAAAGAGCGAGGAGAGCGCATGTGCGAACGTTGCTCCAAGCTGCGCACTGAGCGCAAGGAGGCCATCCTGGAGTTTCTGAACACGGAGTCGAGCTACGGCGAGGACCTGCGCATCATCAAGGAGGAGTTCTACTGCCCCATGCAGAGCGCCGGGCTGCTGACCGCCGAGCAGCTCACCGTGGTGTTCAGTAACGTTCAGGAGCTGATCGACGTCAACGATCGCTTCACTGAACACCTCCAGGACAACATCGACCAGGCCTTTGACCAGGTGACACACACACACACACACACACACGGAAAAACTAGTCAGGGCTGAAACAAGGTGGTTCAGATTTAATGCTCTTAAGCTCTGAGCTGCTGGTGTTACATAAATCAATGTCAGTCACTGTGTTGAGTTCAGGACACTGACGGGACTTTGGGATGAAGGACTTCTTAAATACATTTACAGTCACCAGAGGAGCTCTACAGCGCCTCCCACAGCTCAAGAGCTCAAACTGGTTGAGGAGAGGATGGCAGCTATCTGCTGAGATACTCCTCACTGTCTTCCTCATCCTCTCTGTAAAGAGTTGGGTCAACGGCTTTTGTGGCTGGCCAGTTATTTTACCTGACAGTCACAGTCCCACAGAGTTTACTCTTGGATGTAAAGTTAAGATGACCGAACCAGGCGGGAGGTGAAGAGTTAACGTCTTGTACACTAATTCTACAATCTGCTGAGTCACACTGAGGGTGTTTTCACATTTGGTTCTTTTCAGACCTCTGAATGGACTCAGAGCAGTGACTCAGCATTTTTTGGGCATAGGTGAATGCTCCACAAGAACTCAGACGCCTCTGGCTTCAAGTCCACGTGCACTGTGAACACAGAGTGCTCCAGGTTCGCTTTGCTCTTTGCTGTTGTATTCAGTCCTCCAGATCACATGCTGTTGACCTGGGACACTTGAAAAAACAAACAAAAAAACGCTGTAACGGCCTGTAACGCTTGCTAAGACGCAGGACGGGGAGTAGTTTGGTCCACGGAAGATACTGCACGTCTCCAGATGTGGAATGTAGAATACATCAAACGGCAACACTCTACAGCACAGACACACTCAGGGTCTCCTCCAATTTTAAGTTCATCTGAAAGTGAGAGGCTTCATAACTTCACTGCAGCACTACGTCAAAGTAAAGACACAACTATGCAACACACACAGAATCCAGTCACTGCAGTTAAAAAAGCACGGGAGGGGAATCCATTTATTGAGCCAAGTATGTGCGACTCCGCTACGATAGGTGGAGATATGCCCCCTTTCAGCTTGTTAGTATTGGACCTTTTTCCTGTTGACCTATTACGTCACAGACCAAACAATGGACAAACAAGTTAGCTACGGTTAGCTAGCAGCTAACTGCTACCATGGTGGACAACTTTACAGCTCTGTACATTTGGTCCGTCCAAAAAGTCACGGCTCTGGATGTAGATTTCTCCATGTTGTTACCGGCTTCTTCTTCTCTTACACATTTAATGCTATTGGACTTCCGGTTCAAAGCCCGGGGCGGAAACTGTGGAGCATGCTCAGAGCGCCTCGGCCAGTTTGGGTCTGATTGACTGTAGGGAAGAGGATAAATATGTGTTTTAGACTTGACCGTATTATCTGGTGTGTTCTGACCTCAGGGAGACGAGGATCTGCTCACGGTGTACATAGGAGAGATCTTTCTGGAGTTCGTCAACATGCTGCCGGCCTTCCAGACCTACTGCCTGCAGCAGTCCACGTCTGTCAACTTGCTAAACACGCTGGAGAAGGAGAAAGAGCTGCTCAGGTACACACACAGTACACAGACTCTTCTTCCTGTTGGTGTGTGATGGTGGAGTCACTGTGGGAGCTTTCTCTGGTTCCTGTCTCGGCTCTTCTGTATAATTCTTAATGGAAAAGACAGCGGGTTATCACTTATTCAGAAGAAGTTCTATTTTCAGAGCAGAGCTGCAATGATTCATATTTTTAGACAGAGCCACAGCTCACCCTGTGTCAGACCGTCTTGTGATTCCCATTAATCAGCTTTTAAACAGTTTTCCCAGGACGCGTTCAGGGTCTCTCTGGTTTTAACTCCATTTTCTTTCCTTCTGTCTTCTCAGAATCTTCTTGGATGTTTCCCAGAATGACAACACGGCACTGCGTCGCATGAACCTGCGCTCCTTCCTCATGGCGCCCCTCCAGCGCGTCACTAAATACCCGCTTCTATTGAGCCGCATCATCAAGGTCACTCCCGAATGTCACCCCGACTACGCGCGTCTCCGTGAGGCCAAGAGTCGTGTGGAATCCCATCTGGAGCACATCAACATGAAGACCAAACAGGAGGGCAATGGCGTCACCTGGTCACTGCGTTCATTCCGCCGTGACAGCCGCAAAAACCGCGAGGTCATCAACATTGAGATGAGAGAGGTGTCGATGAAGACGGTGGGCTGGGCCAGAGAGAACACGCGGTTTGTCATGGAGGGGCCACTCCAGCTGTCCCAGCCGGCAGATGGTCAGTGGGTGAAGAAGGGCAGCAAGGCCCTCAAGTTCCAAAATGTCCAGAGTCTGCTGATGGTGAGGACACTGCGGGCCGGGGAGGCCCCAGGACAGGACCCGGGGGCCCGGGGGGAACAGGGAGAAGGCGGTGGTGACGGCATACGAGACGGAGTGCTGGTTCTAATCAAAGACAAGAGCAGCGGGAAGTTCACCGTGCTCAGAGAGCCCATCCGACTGGGCAACTGTGTGGTGTCCACAGACCCGGACTGCGAGGACACGTTTGAGGTGCTCGATATTCGGCGCGAGTCTTTTGTTTTCCGCGCCTCGGACAAATCTCGCACCCAGCAGTGGTTCCATCAGATCAAGAGGTACGCTCGAGACCTGGGCACCTGGAGGAAAAGACGCAACGCTCTGCCCAACATCATGATCAACACAAACCAGACCCGCTCGTGAGACTGACCGCTCCCCCTCCCCCGCCTGCCTTTCTCACACTGTAAATAATCTGAATCCTCCGCAACTGACGACAAGAAGCATTTCTGAGTGACGCCACTGTTAAAACATGTCCCATTAAAAAAACCTCTCTCAAGTCTGACAAGAGAAAGGTACGGCACTTTTCTTACAGAGCTATGAGTGCGCCACACGTCAGAAAATCACATGCGAAGATTTAAGTTGTTGAACGAAAAAATCCTGGACAACCAAAAAACCTGGGCTGTGCTCGTCAGCCTTGATTGTAAAGACTGTTTGCTCCTGGAGGAGGAGCAGAGCTGTGTGTTTTTTGAAAAGCATGACTGAACCGACTGACTGCAACAAAAAGAACAATTGTAATGTCATTTTTTTATACCAGACAGTGGGGGTTTTGGTACGTGGAGGTGGAGACATGGCGAGAGCTTCTGTTCAGTGGTTTCTGTTTGTTGTCACTGCCCTCTCCTGTCCGTGTGCCGCCCTCTACTGTCCGCCGGCAGCAGAGCAACTTTCACTGCCAGAGATGCAGTTGAGCGAGAGCCTGTTTGACAGGCTGAGCAGACCTCCTGTATCACTGTGTTTAATCTACGTAACAGCAATAATCTCTGCCAGTTCCACAATAAGTAGCTACTGTACGTGGTTTTGATTTCCCAGGATTCCTTTGGCCTTCAGGTGTTACTGAGTTTCATGTGGCAGAATCAACTCAAGTCTCAAATCTGATCGTGTTTGTCGGCATCGTTAAATCTTCCCTCCGTGATCCCGACATGAAGGAGTTCAGATAATCTTTGTGCCATGAGAGCAGTTTGTGAGTTCAGTCTCCTTTAACTGTTTCCTGTCGACATCAGGTAAAGTCAGACGCCACAGTTGTGCTGAGAACAGTTTTTCAACCTTGCGTTCAGGAGGGCCATGAGACGGACAGCTCAAAATTTGGCACTGTACGTTTCTGCCAACCGCGGATACATTATTTTTGTAGTCCATACGTTAAAACTTTACGTGTCAGCAACACTTTGGTGAATGTGTGGTTACGTTTAGGCACAAAACCCAATTGGTTCTGGTAGGGCTGCCCCTTCATTAATATAGGCCTATATTTTATCTCCAAGTGCACGTCACACACTGAGCGAGCCGCCTGTTAATGACGCTGTGGGCTAATGGGCATGTAGCTACTTCCATGTTTCACATGATACGTCATGTTTGTAGTCGACCAATGAAGATGAGTTTACATATCACCTTGGGTTCGTCCTTCACCTTCTCAAAATGATCCCACACTTTGGATTTCCTGCCCGACATGTTATTAACTAGCCTGTGGAATAACCGCAGGTACCAGCCCTGGAGATTAACCTGACTCCTGTCTGACTGCTGAGCGTGGACACTTCCTGTGTCTGTCCTTTCATAGTAAAGTCACACATGCTCCAGTCATATAGGTTTGGATTTATTTTGACATGGCGCAGCTCCTCATAGAGTTTGATGTTTTTTGTTTTTTTTCCTGCAGCTAAGCGACCAATGAAATCTTGCCGACTTATGACCTTTCTGGTCGACTATAAAGGGGGCAGCCTTAAGTTATGGTTCGGTAGAGATTATGTTTCGATTTAAAATACCCAGTATTTGGGGGAACAATCCTCGCTGGAGAACCCCACTTTTCGTAGCACTATACTTGCTGGCAAAACAGCAACATGCACTAAAAAGCACCCATGTTTGGCGGCTAAAAGCAGCTGGAAAAATGGCAACAGGTCTCTAAAAAAACAGAAATATGGTACTTAATAAGTTGCTAAAAAAAAGAGCCATGGGTCACTAAAACCCACCCACGCTTGGTGGCAAAAAAAAAAATCAGCTGGAAAGGCAGTGATGACTCGCTAACAAACAACTGGTTCTGTGGTTTGTTGTTGAACCGTCTGAAGCTTGTCAGACGTAGGTGTTGCACCATCCAACATCTGCTCCACCTCCCGATGATCACATCAGCTCAGATGCTACGTCACTTTAGAAACATTAGGTGGGTTTCCATCCAAATGTATCGCAAATTTTAAGCGAATTTTGTGAAAATGTGCAAAAGAAAATGCGAATACAAATGAAATACACTCACCTGACACTGGAGTAATTACCTCTCTCTAGGTTCACACAGGTGTGTGTGTGTGAAGTAGAAGTAGGATTCGGTAGCCTATGTCATTGTTTATTCGCTAAATCTGTTTCCATTGCCAAAAGTTGCATTTTCCTAATATCGATACGCTGACTTTCCCACCCCCTCCAAGCGTAAAAACTTTTTTGCAATATTTCAGCCTTTTTTCGAATTTCTGGCGTTTCCATTCAAGTTTTTTTTCGCAATTGTTGAAAATGCGAATAAAAATAGGCGGATGGAAACCCGACTATTGATATGATCTGTGTGAAATGTACAAATGTAACATATCTGTGGTTTGCAGAAACGAACAGTGCCAACATTTTCCTCTGGTGTCTAGGACCTCCATCACTAGTTTTAACTCCTCACTAATCATGGACGAATGCGTGCAGCAGAGATCTCAGCTGAAGTACTTTCATTCAAAATGTAGTGTTTTGCAAAATATTTAAATTATTATATATATTTTTTAAATACTATGGAGACTCCTCGCATCCCACCAGTATTACCTGAACCGGAGTTTGAGAACAGGGACCGGTTGCACAAAACAGCTTAAGTTTTCTCCTTAACTATGACACTTAAGGCTTAATTTCTCTTTAGCTGAGGGACTTACACAGTTGCACAGAATCCTTTAAATGGTTTCCTTTGTTAATAAAAACTAATTCACTTTGTTGTACAGTGGTAAAAGATTCCATGGAGACTGTTTGTGAGACGATAACAGGCGTCATGAGTCCAAGCAGAGTTGTCTTATAGTTAGATATTGAAAAAAATGGCAGAAGAAAAGAAAACCAGACAGGTCAGAGGAGGAAGACATGAAACTTCTGGAGGAATACAATCAGAGGAAGAACAAACTAGCGAAGTGAATCTGATCCTTAAATATCAGGAAACAGAAAACGACTGTAATGAAAATTCAGTCAAATCTAAAGTGTAAAATCAGAAGAGTCTCCGTCAGGTTCTCTCAGAGCACTCTGCTCAGAGTGTGTTAGCTTTTATTTATCACCATAAACTCGCTCATGTTCAGTTAAGACAGAGTCAGAGGGACCTTAAGGTGTTTTTTTGTATATGACCCAGAGACATGGCAGACTGTTACGCTCCTCATGTGCTAAGTTGCTGCTAGCTGGAAGGTCAGCAGCGCCGCCATCTTGTTTGCCGTCACTCTCATTTTTGTTTTCCCTGTGGTAATGGTTGGGTACCAAATCAGAGGCAGGTTTTAGAAGCATGTTCTCCAAGTCTTAGAAAAGTTAGGAATATAACAGATGTTAAATATCAAATCACAACAGAGCTCTTCCAACAGCTGCCCATTCCACCACTCGCCAAACTGGTACCTTGCTTTGGTTGCTCAGGTCTTTCGTGCAGCGGTCGAGAGGTTCCTTAAGTATAACCAGGACAAGGAGAAAACCATAAATACTTGAGTGAACATTTTAAGCAAACCTTAAGGAGAAGACTTAAGGGTGTTTTGTGCAGCTGCTTTTATTTTGAGAAAACCTTAACTAGGACTTAAAGGACAATCTTAAGATGGTTTGTGCAGTTGACCCTAAAGACTTTGAGGAAGTCAGTTCTGATAATTATTAATGAAGTTTGCAAACTGACTCATCATCTCAGCACTGTCCCTTTGTAACACGTCACCATCTCTACTTAATCCCACCAACATGAACTCTCTCCTGCTGCAGGGCTCGTGGCAGTTCGTGCGTTAAGGTTGAAAAACTCTGACTTCACTCGAACAATCGTCTCAACCATCTCGTCATGACACGGTGTTAACTGTTATGTGACCCAGCGCTGAGCTGTTGTGCCTTGGTACTCGATTACTGTTATACTAAAACTAAACACGTGCAACCTGTCACAGTAGCATTCATCTGACACACGGACGACACCGCCCTCTGTCGGCACTCCCATTAACAGGCAATATAATGACTCGTCTGACGGACGCTCCCCAGCTGCTGAGAACACGTCATCACCTGATCCTCTGATTTCTGTTTATTTACGAAGGCTTTATTGTTTGATGCACTTTATTAGGATTCAGTAAGAGAACGCTCTCCGGTATAAAACACGTTCACAGATCTTCATTAGAAGAAGGAGCCGAGCTGATTTCAGCAGCTCATCAAACCAAAACTTGTGTAAGACTGACACTGTTTCTGATGACGTAGCACTAGAAGAGGTAGCAAATCACTGTATTTCGTACGGCAGGGCTGCTCAGCCTCACACCCATACTCCTGACGCTGTTTCAGATTAAGCCTTTCAAACTGTAAAGAGAAAAAAAAGCCTGCTGAGTTTTTGTTTTCCTCTTTTTGCATTTCAAAGACCTGATGTATTATTTCTCCAATGTAATATATTGTGAATTATATTAAAAGATTTTAAACACGACCTCTTTGCTTTTTGTTTTTCCTCTGTGTGTGGTGTGCTCATGTTTGGAGACTCTGACAAAGCTGGAGACGTAGAATGTAGAAATGTATTTACAGTCCTTTTAAGCATCTTTAAGACAACTGATTCAAAGACAGGAACACACGCAGGTACACGCGAAATGCACGAATCACTCCAGGAAACAAAAGCACACGATGAAAGAGAGTGAATTATTTCTAGAAAATACAGTCCAGCGTCACTACAGGATAGAAGCAAACAGAAACCTGGACGCCAACAATAGAAACAAACTGTCAGGACATTTTCTTAAAGGGACAGTTCAGAGTTTTTGAAGTGAGGTTTTATGGGTAATTACCAAAAGACACGTCAGTCAGCATTTAGAATATGTCTATTTTTATTTTAGATTATTTTTTGTGATTTTCATTTATTTTATTTCTTTTAGATTTTGTGGGGGATTTTGTTTTTTTTTTTTAGAATATTTTAACTGCCTTACAGTGATTTCCAACAGGAAAATGAAGCCCCTCTCTTCAAAGCCAGACTCCATTGAGAAAACCAGTGATTTAACATCAGTGAATACAGGAGCTGCAGGTCGACTGCTGCCTCCATCAGTTAAGTTAGTTTGTGTTATTGTGCAACTTCGGTGAGTTGGACATAAAACTTTTAAACTCTAAAGTCACACAGTGTCACAAACTAACTTACTGATCAAAGCAGTGACAGACCAGCAGCTCCTGTGTTCAGTGAGCTTAAATTAATGCTTTTGTCAATGGAGTCTGGTGGCTCTTGGTAACAAGCTGTAAAACAGTGAAAATACTCTTAATATAGTTTACACTTCAACTGACAGTGATTTTATTACCCATAAAAACCTACTTCGAAAAATCCGACCTGTCACTTCAAAGTGAAGAAAAAAAACAGGAACATGCAGTACGTGACATTCTGACTAGTTTGTGTTTGCTGACGGATTTCCACACAACCAAAATATTCAAACGTCTCATCAGACATGTTCATTGGCACTGTTGTGTTCTGTAAGGGCTCCTCGCCACCGTCAAAACTGAATCTAACTAATGACAGAGGAACTCTACATCATGTGAAGTGCATCTTTGTCATTTCTTTGGCTCGACCTCTCCCAGACTCTCATTTAGAAAAGATTAGGTGTGTGCAGGTCAGGTGATCAAAATCTGAATCAAGGCTTCTTTTCAGGCAAATCAGGAATTATGACAATCTGCAGAATGTTGTAAAATGGATTTGTTGATTGTGACTGTCTTTAAGATTCCAGCAGGGCTGTCAATTAATCTGTTGATTGTTTCCTCGATTAATTGATTAGTGTTTCGGTTTATAAATGTCAGAAAATGTTGCTCATGAATGTTTTATTTTGTCCACAACTCAAAGAAAATCCAATTTATCCAGTTAGCTGGAGATGAATTTAACAGTTTAATTTAACTAATCGATTAATCGTTGCAGCTATAGATTAAGTTTTTATTGTTTGCTCGTTGCATCAAATATTTCGTGCATAAATGAGACTCTTGGATCAGTTTGGATGCATCCATTTTTTTTTTTTTTAACAATAGAGTCCTTAGAAAACCACCAGTCGTCACCTGGTGAACACAAATACATTTCACTTTCTTTTTTTTCTTTTCTTTAACAAATAAACAGCCACAAAAAAAGATCAGCGTGGTTGTAACGCTCTGAGCGACCCCCGCCTGACATCCGCCCGACCTCTCAGGTGAATTTAACATCACTACAACATAAATCTGATAAAAACAAGTCGACTGCTGCAAAAACCAACTCAGTGAAACAAAGACACACAAACAAGATGAAGCTGAGAACACGGATTTCCAGAAACCAGCAATAAACTGAACCTTCCATCTTGAGCGACGGTGTCCGTCACCGTCTGCGCCGCCATTCTGACAGACCGCCATCCATCTAAAGCACCTCACACACACACACACACACACACACACACACACACACACACACACACACAGTCACACACACAGTCACACAGTCCGTCCTCAGTTGCTGGGGCCTCAGGTACATCCCTGGGTCGTGCCTTCCATGTGAGGTTAAAGGTGCAGCAGCCGTGGAGAGAGCTTCCACGCCCTCCTCGGTCTCCCACAGCCAATTCCCGCCTCTGAGGTCTACTTGTCCCCGCCAGTCTCAGCCTCCTTGGCCAGCCCTCGGATGGACAGGTCGTAAACCACCTCCTCGATCTTCTTCACGTCGTACTTGAGGCCGTCGTAGCGTTTCCGCAGCGGGTCGTTCTTCAGGTTGAGGAGGCGGAAGCCCGAGTCCAGCTCGTTGATGAAGTTGGAGATGCGGAGCGGTCGGGTGTAGTCTCCTGCTGTGACGCTGTTCACCGCCAACCGTGACTGGAAGAAGAAGCAGGCACTTATTTTACTCGGGATGCACCTGATTTATTGGCTGAACATCAGTATCGGTCAATATTTGCCTTGTTGACTGCCATCAGCCTATCAGTAAATAAGAGGTGTCTCTGCTGTTCAGCCTCACTGATACAAAGTTCAACTCAGCAGCAGCACAAACTCTGAGCTGATTAACCAAAACTGAACATTACGACCTTCATGACAGCAGCCGTCAGTTACACACACTCACCAGTTCACTGGCCATGATGAGCACACCTGCCAGGTAGTCCTCTACATCCAGGTGGAAGCCTTTCTCTCGCACCACCTCAACTGTGGAGTTTAAGAGAGAGAAAGAAATGGTGAAGCCTCATTCCTCCATCACTGTTACACTCCAACACACCAACTGGTACCTACTGCCCAGTATCTTGGCCACTTCCTCCCGAACCACCAGAGTTTCAGTCTCCAGGTAAACGACGAAGGCTGCTAGGAAAGCCAAGCGCTGCAGGACAAACCGCCAGTGTTCATGGAACCTAAAGAGGGGTCAAACAGGTCGGAGACAAAGACATCAAACACTTGACTTCAATTTATTTCACCATGATAATTAATTCTGCGCATGAACATTGAAACACACAATGAAGCAACATGACAATTAAAAACATAAATCTGCTGCTACAGTCTGATCAGGTGTTCTCACTACTGAACTTCACATAAAATTCACGGTGAGTTAAACTGCTTTGTGTGTATTTCTGCAGATTAACTTTGTGTGAATGAACTATATAGTAAACTTTACATCACATCTCAGAGTGTGCACTGAGCCATCACCACAGCTGCTGTCAAGTGTCTCGTACCTGTAATACTGCTCCACAGGAAACTTTGTTTTCAGCTCACCGATCTGAGTCCTGACGGTGCAGAACAGCTCCCGAGCCTTTGCACATTTACTGGGAACTGACCGGAGAGAGGAAAAAAGATTCATGTTCAGACTGATAACTTGAGGAGGCAGACATCTTTCATGAGTACCAGTGAAAACAGTTCAGACTGTGTGACACACTCACTCTCTTTGAACCCAGACGGCTGATGGACGCTCTGGAGAACGGTCAGGATTTCTCTGGCAGTCTGCTCCAACGTCTGCACCACCTTACGGATATCCTGCAACAAAGTCCATTAAATATCAGATTCTTCCTGATCCATCTTTTTCTATCAAAACACACTTCACAGTTCATACCTGAATTCTGGGGCTCTACTGGAACATTTTTACTTAATGTTCAGAAAACACTTTAGTTTTCTCACACTGTTTGAATACACCTGTAACCACCCTCTGTCTGAAACACTGTTGTGGAAACATTTTCATCTCACCGATACACCCTTCCTACCCAAGGGGCGGCACTAACTGAGGCATTTCAAATGCCGCCGCACGCAATTGGATAGCACAATGGCCAATAAGAGCAAAAAACAAGGTGACGTATTCATTGCACTAAGTCCCATTTGTTTGCTGACCAGTGGGGCTAACTGAGGCCATGTTCACACGAAAACGATCCACTGAAAACAGAATCGTTTCTCATTTTCGTTTTGAAAGAAGTTCCACGTTTAGACGACAACGTTTTGATAACAATCGCCGTGCACACAGATCTGCAAAAATGACCAAAAACACTGCAGTACACATGCCAGGCCAGTAGTTGGCAGTGTGACGCTTACGCTTCCTTCTACAAAGCGGTAATGTATAAACAAACAAAATGGCAACCGCACAAACGTTTGTCTGGACGGACGACGAGGTGGAGTTGCTACAGTAAATCTACACTATGATGGGGAAGTGTTGATACATTCAACAGGTTGAGCAACACAAGCAGAGCTTGGGAGTCCGCCATTGTTGTTGTGATGGTCGACTTTCTCGCGCATGCCCAGTGACTGGAAGCGTAATGAGCATGTGCGAAAAGTCTGTTTTCAGAGGAACTGCATATTGCAACGGAGACGCTGCTGTTTCCACCCAAAACGCAGCTGTCGTGTAAACAATTGGCCAAATCGCAACTAAACGGTTACTGTTTTCAATTGAAATTGTTGTTGTATAAACGGGACCTGATATATTATGCTTTTTCATATCCCATCGGCAAAACGTCAAAAACGTCCTTCCTGGAAGCGAAGGCTTCTAGGGCAGTCTTCTGTTCCTCTCTCAAGGAAAAAGATTAGTTTAGTTGGCTTTGCGTTTCTTCCTTAGCTAAATTGAATGGATTCGGTCCTTCAGCAGCTGCCATCTTGGCTGTTTACTTTTCGACTCCTACGGCGCAGCGCTGTCCTCATCATGTTACGCCTGCCCAGAGCCCGCCTCTGTCAGATAGACTGATCTGATTGGTCTGATGGCGTTTCAGTGGGCTCTGCTTGTCGGGGCCAGATCCCCGTGCAGAGCAAATTAGAATTTGCTAGGGGCGGGGCATCTGGATTTCCAGATTACGTGATGAGAGGTTTTTCTACCTGTAAGTTGTAAATAAACACTCAGTGGTTCACAATCCGCAGACGCATATTCTGCAGGATCCATCCCACCCAGCCCATCATCTGTTTGAACTTGTGCCCTCAGGCAGGCGTTACCGGACAGTTAAAACCAGAACCACCAGACTGTTAAACAGCTTTTATTCCAGAGCCATCACCACATTGAACACAAGCCTACAAACCCGAACCCATACCTAACAACACATACACCTCATAAACACAAAGTGCAATAAATGAACCTGAGCAATATAACTGTAAATGTGAATGTATCTATGTTGGCACTTTTTTGTATGACTGAGTGACTATGTATGTGTATGGCTGTGTGTGTGTAGTATGTATGTATGTGACAATAAAGGTCTCTCTCTCTCTCTCTCTCTCTCTCTCTCTCCCCAGTTCTGAATAGACTGCAGGTGACTTCATAAATGTGTCAAGTTTTTTAAAAAACACACTTAAAGCTCTGTGTCAGAAATTCACTGTACTTTTATTTTGATGTGCCATTTCCTGCTGTAGAGTGAGTGACTCGTGGGCAGCTACTTAACAGACACAGCAAACTAGCTCGACGACATGGACAAACACAAGTATGAGGCTGAATATATTAAACTGCGTGGACCCTCAACTGATGACCCTGTGGCTGCACCATATAGTAGAGTTTTGACATCACAAACTCAGTGAAATCCTGACGGCTCGTTTAGCGACACAGTTTCTGAATACAAACTGTGAGCATTTCTCTGTGGCCTGAGAGTTTGGATTCTTTGCCTGTATTTATACAGCACCTGCACCTGCTTTACTTTCACAGAGACATGGACACCTGACTTGTCACAATGTGGGACCTTTAATATCGGAAGAATCCAGGACCCTCTGCTGTTTCTGTAAATCTGAAACCTACTTCTTGTGATAGTCTGCTCACAGCAGAGACACTGTGGAGTGTTTAAAGCACTAACAGAAACTACAGAGCTCCATCTGGTTAAATCCACAGTGTGGTGTTTCCCCTTTGAGCGTAACGACACGTAACTTTAACGCGCGTGGAATAAACAGCGAGAGACAGCAGAGGGAATAATTTATATTTCAGATATTCACCTTTTACATGTTTGATATGTTCTTATTAACAGGGATAAATCAACATAAGACAGTTAGAGATGAGGGTCAGTGTTTGGAGACGCTGCCGGCTGATGAACCAGACTCCTGTTGGTACTTACTGAACATATTTAACGTGCATTAACGGGACTCGGCTCCGGTTAGCCGTTAGCTAGCAGCCTGACACAGCTAACAGGTTTAACGGCTCGCGGCCGGATGTTGATTCATACCTCTCTGACGTCCTGGTCGGCGCTCAGGAAACCCTGAATGTAACTGAACATCTCGGTCACAGACATGTCTGATTGCAGCCGAGCTGTCCGGAGGAAGATGATGATGAAGGTGATGATGATGGTCCGTCTGCAGCTAGCTAGGCTAATTCATAAAAACATCAACGTGCACGAGAACCGCCACCCCCCCTCCTTCCTGCGCTGTGTGGCGCCTGGAGATGACGTCATCAATTTCATTCTGTCGCTCCATATTTTTAATTAAAAACATCACTTTTTGGGAATTTATTTTAAATATCACTGCATTAAATCATAAAAAGCAAAAGCAGCAAAAAAATAAATTTATTTAGAATTATAATTTATATATTTTTTTATTTTTATTTTTTTGTCAATTCAATAATTGTCTCACAGTTCCAGCTGTACTTTAATGAATTAATTAACTTTTATTTATAAAGCACCTCTCATACACAGAATGCAGCGGCAGACACAAACATAGCAAGGGGATAAAAACATATGTTTATACAACCATCGTTCTGGGAGAAAACAAATAATGATTTATAATTAGAAACAATCATTTAAGAAAAGATAAAAACACATAAAATATTACAGATAACTGGTAGTCAAAGGTTATATTAAAGAGATATGTTTTGAGTTTAAAACTGAGCCAGCAGGTCTGATGTTTAAAGACAGGGTGTTCAGCTAAAACAGGGGTAGGCAACCTGTGGCTCCGGAGCCACATGTGGCTCTTTAGCCCCAGTCCAGTTGAGCTTTTGAGAAAAGAAGTCTATGGAAATTCATTCTATGAATCCAAATGTTGCTGAACCTCGATAGCAGTGGCTGGTTAGCTATGGATGCCAAATCCAAAAAAGTAAATCGAATAAAATAGAGAATGTAGTAGTGCGTGGGCAGATTTGTTTGCTCTCACTGCCAGCTCTGCAAAATTTAAGTACCAGATAATTATTAATAGTGCCTTGCACAGTGTCCACCTTGTGGTAAAACATATTAACAAATGCTTATTTAGACCATAAGTATACCCTAATTTAGACTTAATAGGCTATTTACCTTGATCATAAGGCTCAAACATGTTTTGTGGCTCCACACAGATTTTTCAAATTATTTTTGGTCAAAAATGGCTCTTTTAATGGCAAAGGTTGCAGACTCCTGAGCTAAAAGAAGAATCCCCAAAGGTTTCTGTAGTGACATTTTCATGGTTTCATATATTTCCATATGTTTCAAGTGAAAAATCTTAATTTGTAAACTACCTACAGCTGTCAGATAAGTAGTGGAGTCGAGGCAGACAGTGGCATGAGAAGAAAAGACTTACAGTAAACTGCAAAATAGATCCAGGACGTTACAATATGTAACAATAAATTACATCATTATCACCTCACAGGCTTTTACTGTGATATTAAACCAAATTCAGAATTTTATTGTGAAATTCATGCAGACTACAGGAGCATACTGTTAAATCACAGTAATGTGCAGACATAACTGCTGTGAGATGACAGTACACAGCTGTCATAAAACAGCTATTTACTGTAAAAATGTCACAGTAATTTACTGTGAATGTACTGTCAAATATTTTACAGCTTAATTTAAAAAACTCTATTAAATAACACCAACACTATTAAATAATAAAAAACAGCAATGTAATATTATTATTACAAATATTTTCTTCTTCTTCGGGGCCACAGCTGTCATCAGAATAAGAAAATAAAAGTGAATTTAATGGATCTTCTAAGGACTGTTTATAAGACATTGTTCTGGCCACACAATTAATTTTAGTTTATCATCTGTCTTTTACCATCAAAATAATTTCATTGATTCTTTCCATTCATTAGTCGCATCAGTTAAGCGCACAGTGTCACACGATTCTGACAAAATAACACATTTCATGACATCATGAGACTTTTAGAATTCATTTATTCATTTTCTGTTGCACAAACATATTAATCTGATTTAATGTGGCCGATGATCTGGCGGCTCAGTGGAGTCATTCCTGCTGTGTGTGGGTCAGAAACCTGATGACTGCCTGTCTGGGTTTATTCACTGCAGTACTGCATTAATCCTGCAGATGGAGCCACAGCTGAACACTCACCAATGTTGCCTTCAGGAGCTCCTCGGAAAAAAAAGCAACATTAAACGTGAGACGGTCTCACTCTAACCAGCCCAGTATCTTGGATCATCATCGTCAGGAAGTTTAACATCGCTTTTTATTACAACTGAAAATTACCACAGAAAAACAAACCAAACTCATCCGGTAGTCCCTATTTTATGTTTTCTTTATTTTTTTTTTTAAATTTTATTTCTAGCAGAGTTAATTTGGTTCATTAGTTCTTATCACTGGGAGCCCATCTCTGACAGAATAAATAGCGATGAAAAAAGTAATTATAATCTTTCATACCTGTATAAGAATATGCCCAAGTGCTGTAATATATAGTTTTGTTTTGTTTTCATCCAGGCTGACTTTTAAACTGTTAAACTGAAACGACATGGAAATGATATTATATAATTTCTGTTGACATGACATGAAATTGATTGGCCTATTTATGTATGACTTTTAATAACTAATATAATATGTAAATATCAATCAATCAATTGTATTTATAAAGCCCAATATCACAAATCACAATTTGCCTCACAGGGCTTTACAGCATACAACATCCCTCTGTCCTTATGACCCTCACAGCTGATCAGGAAAAACTCCCCCAAAAAAAACCCTTTAACGGGGAAAAACCGGTAGAAAGCTCAGGAAATATGTATAATAAAAAGGAGGGAAAAGGGATGCAATTTTAAAATGACAAAAATAAACGATGCTCAACAGAAGAGAAAATACTAAAAACAAACAAACCAAAAAATATTTTAGTACAGTCAATAAATTATTTCATTATTTAACCTTTATAAAATAATCTTTATCTTTGTACCTCTTGTCGACACTTTTGCTTTTTTCAATGGTAGTGTAAAGGGTAAAATGAATTACTAAATGATTTACAATTTATTTTTCCTCTTCACTCTTTTACTGTAAATCTGTATCCTTTATGTTTTATATTTTATTTCTCTGTAGAAATGTGCTAAACATTATACCTGCATTTTCTTAAAAAAAAAAAAAAAAAATCAAAATTACAAGTTTTACTGAGTCACATCTCTGGCACAGGAGGTCACAGCAGTGGGACAGGACATCAGCGTTATGAAATAATGAATAAATAAATCGAAATCTTAAATTTACCATCTCATATTTATGAAGTGCTACATTCAAATAATCTTATAATTTGAAAAATAAATTTCAGATAACTAAGTCCAAATCATGATTAACTATAACAGAGTGTCTTCTTAACAAAACTTATCTCATAATTTAAACTTTGTCTGGCCTTGAGAATTGTTTCAGTCAAAATCAACCTCCCTCACTCTGATTTACTTTTTTCTTTTACAGAACTTTATTTTAATTTCTGAGGACATTTTAATTGTAGTTACAAGCAGCGCATCTATCATAGTAATTAAATACAAATTAACAACACCAAGGCAGTCCCATAGTGGTGCTCATATTTCCGACGGCTCCTGAAGGCCTCACTGCAGAGCGCAGCCTCCTGTTGCTCCAGCAGCACAGTTTGATCACAGAGCTGAGAGCAAGAGTGACACACACACACACACACACACACACACACACCTCTGTTATCTCACCCGGGTCGTGTGTGTGTGAATGTCCCCGTCCTGTCCGTCTCCTCGGGACACTGAGACAATGCAGCAGGCAGCTGTCCACCCGGGCCTGTGACATGGAGAAGACCTCAGCTGAAGATGACTGCGTGGATTCAGGAGCCGAGACTGGAGGGTGAGTGGAGCACGAGTCGCTCTGAGATGGGACTCGACCTCAACATCACATTTATACTCTGTGTTTGAATCAGGAAGTAGAACTGTGAGAGTTTATAAGGTTTGACCAGTTACTTCAACACCTCAGTTCAGAGTCTTTTCATGTGTTGAAACTCGTCCTCAGCGTCTCTGTATGAAATGTATTCATTTAACGACCCGCCGAATTAAAGCGAGCGCAAGTTAACGGTGAGATGTGACGTCACAGGAGCCGCACACCGTCAGACAAACAAGAAAACGTTAATATGACACATTTTAAATGAGGTTTGGCGTCACAGAGCTCAGCCAAGCGCGTCATGTTATTTACATGTGAGGAAAAGTGACCTATGACGCATTTTCATCAGTCTGGTGACGCAGACCTCAGGCACAGCATCGGCCCAAACTTGGCATGCCGGGATTTATACTTGTGCGTTTATACTTGTCAGTCGGCCCAGCTCGCATGTGTGATGTTCCTGGCCCGATTCCGGCTGCAGACACACCATCAGTGGGAAGACTAATTGATCTGAGCTCCTAAATGTTGTCACCATGAATCTGTTACTGTCACTCTTCTAATAATTTCTGCTGATATCTGCGGGGCACTCTGACTTGTGTCAGCGCCTGATGTAATGTCTGATGGATCTGTGGAGGATGTGAAAGTTAAATTAATTTATTTATTGTTTTATTGTTCCTTCTGTTTTCAGCCGTTAGACAAAGATGTGCCTCAGTTTCTCCTCTGGTACGTCACTGACTGGATGTGGTGGTGTTGTAGTGAAAGTCCTGTGTCTGTGTGTTGGTGTATAGAATCAGATCCTAAATGTTCCTGAACGCTTTAAAGATGTTATCAAAACTGAGGACTTGTGTTTCTTTAGAGTATTATCTTGTATTTGCTTCTGTGAGATCTGCGGAGCCACATGACGGGCAATAATCTGAATAGAAATCTTTGTAATGTCTCCAAACATTTTAGTAAAATTTCATGTCGAGATGATTGTTTATACATTTTGAGCAGTTTCTGAGTTGTTTTATGTTGAATTGCGTCTGTTCACCTCGCCGAGGGCTCATCTGTTATGACATGCAGACGAACTGAACACTGGAACTGAAGACGCTACATCAACCCGGTCTCACTCTTAAGTTGCTGAAATCCGGCGCATGGTTGGTGACTTCCAGTGTCAGACACAGACGAAAAAAGCTGTCCTTTCATGTCAGCATGATTCGCGGCCGGTCGCCGTTATTGTTTAAAAGCACCTGGTGGAGTCAGGGGGAAACGTGGTGGGACAACAACAAAAGTTAAGGCTGCAGAAGTCTGAGTAGAATGGGGGGGGTGGGTCCAACAACCTCCTATTTTCACCCAGGAGGCCGGTGTTCACTTCCTGTAAGATTGTAAAGCCAAACCCTGTTCTTTTTTCCTAAACCCAACCATGTGTGCGTGCCAGCTAAACGTAACCACGTGTATGTGTGTTGGCTAAGCGTAACCACGTGTGTGTGTTGGCTAAACGTAACCACGTGTGTGTGTTGGCTAAACGTAACCACGTGTGTGTGTTGGCTAAACGTAACCACGTGTGTGTTGGTTAAACATAACCACATGTGTGTGTTGGCTAAACATAACCACGTGTGTGTTGGCTAAACGTAACCACGTGTGTGTTGGCTAAACATAACCACATGTGTGTGTTGGCTAAACGTAACCATGTGTGTGTTGGCTAAACATAACCACATGTGTGTGTGTGTTGGCTAAACGTAACCACGTGTGTGTGTTGGCTAAACGTAACCGTGTGTGTGTTGGCTAAACGTGACCATGTGTGTGTGTTGGCTAAACATAACCACGTGTGTGTGTTGGCTAAACGTAACCACGTGTGTGTTGGCTAAACGTAACCACGTGTGTGTTGGCTAAACATAACCACATGTGTGTGTTGGCTAAACATAACCACGTGTGTGTGTTGGCTAAACGTAACCATGTGTGTGTTGGCTAAACGTAACCACGTGTGTGTTCGCTAAACATAACCACATGTGTGTGTTGGCTAAACGTAACCACGTGTGTGTGTTGGCTAAACATAACCACGTGTGTGTGTTGGCTAAACATAACCGTGTGTGTGTGTTGGCTAAACGTAACCATGTGTGCGTGTTGGCTAAACGTAACCACATGTGTGTGTTGGCTAAACGTAACCACGTGTGTGTTGTTGAAGGAAAAAAAACATCAGTTGGTGGTGTTGTACCAACGTAGTGCTTTTATTTTGAAAGAGACTGTATGCAAACTGTACATTTCCTGTGAAAACAGAAGTGTATTTTGAAAACAGACAATGCATGTAACAGGCTGAAGTTGACACGGCGTCCCAGAACGTCAACAACCAACACACCCAGGGTACCTTGGACGTCATATGTGGACGTGGAAAGTCCATGACCAAACGTGGACATGTGACGAGGTCACAGTGAGGATGATGATGGTAACATCACTTTCTTTAAAGTCAGACTCCATTGAGAAAAACAGTGGTTTATCATAGCTCTACACAGGAGCTGCTGATCTATCAGTTTTGTTTGTGTTACTGTGTGACTTTGGTAGATTAGAACTAAACACTTTAAATGCCGCAGTAACACAAACTAACTAACTGATGGAGGCAGTGGTAGACCAGCAGCTCCTGTGTTTAGTGAGGCAATGACTGTTTTTGTCAGTGGAGTCTGGTGACTTTGACGAGAGCTTAGATGAGGAACTAGAGCCAGCAGAACAGACTGTCTGATGGAAATTGAATTCTCACAGACTTCAGTAGACTTTCTTTAAGTGGCTAAAATACGTTTTGTTGTTGGCCTCCATCCACAGCTGTAGCGTCCCTGTCGGACTCCAGCCTGCCTGTGCAACACCACGATCTACAATACACTGACTTTGGATAAAAACCTCATACAGCCCCATTTCAAAACATCTGAACTGTCCCTTTAAAGTGTGTGAAACACATCATTTTAGACTAAACATTACAGAAGACAAAGTCTCAGGCCTGTTGTTCTCTTCAGCCTCATACTGAAGGTTATTAAGCCGGGTAAAGTAATCCATCAGTAAATAAATGAGTCACCTGGGAGCGTGTTATTTCATTAGCTGTGACTGGGACAACATGATGTGTGTGTGTGTGTGTGTGTGTGTGCGTGTGTTTCGTGGGAACGCTCTGCAGCAGAGAGCTTTGTGTGAAGTGCTGATGTGAGAGGAAAAGCAGGGACCGTCCAGCTGACAGAGCCACGGCCTCCATCAGGTCACATCCTCCACCTCTGCTGCCTCACTCCACTTCCTGTTCAGCTCCCACAGCCACTGTTTTCAGTCACTGTCTTCATGTCCGTGTGTCTCTGCTGTCAACTCTCCTCCAGTCACAAGTCACACACTTCACAGAGGCTGTAAAGATGAGGAAGTGGGCACTTGTTGTCTTTTGGTGTTTTACCCTTTCAGGTGAGAACACACTCTGCAGCTACAGAGCGTTTTAGTGTCGTTTAGCTCCTTGTTTTGGTCAGAAACACTCCAACAAATTTTATTGTCAGGCGGATGTGTAAATCAGTAACTTTTGCCAACATCGTTCAATAGAGTAATTGCAAATAAATATTGTTTTAATGTATAACTATTGAAATGTTCACAGGGTTTTTCATAAATTCCTACAATGTTGCGGCACTGTCGCCTTTGCAGGTTAAAAGTTAATGACAGCGACTTGAAGTGAGGAGGAGCAACACGTCTCCGGCTTGTCAGCGCACAGCTGTGTTGACAAGCCGGAGACACGCACTTTTGCATGTGATGCAAAATATTAAAATAACATCATTATAACACAAAAATATAAAAATGTGGTGGTAGGCCTAGGCTATAGCCTGTATCTTTTAGCCTGTTGCATTTAAGTTCCTACCATGTTGTTGTGTCCTTCGGCTCACCTCTGGCATCTGGGATAAACCCAAAAAACTCCCAAATTGGACATGAGGAGTTTTTCTTTGCCACCAAAGCCACAGTGGTGTCAGTGTTGGCTGTCATGCTGACTGGTAGTGATCGACGTAAGACAAGTGGCAAGGCCGTAACCCCCCCCTTGGCGATTTAATTGTGTATTGGCTGTCTGGAGCAATAACAATCCACAATATGAAATTTAGAGGCAATCACAATCACACAGCCCTCCTCTGAACCTGTTCAAACTTTAACATTTTTTATGGATAAAAATAATCGTTAAATATTCAAATTAAATGGTACCCTTGAAATCCAGAGTTCTCGCGAGAGCACAATTTGAATTTGCTCAGCGAGTCACTCTGGCAATCAGTAATGATGCTCATTTCCCATGCCTTTGTAGCTTAGCTGCACCAATCACTTTGGTGTATCTGATATAGTTTGGCCAGAGGCTAGCTAAACAGATGACGACAGCGCTGCGACGACGAAGTCCAGAATCAGTCAGTAAACATTGCAAGATGGCTACGGATGAACACCAGTTGTTTGAAACAGTTTTGGCCGCTACAATGAACGAGTTAGACTTGGCTTTTTCTCTAAAAGAGGAACAGAAGACGGTGCTCGAGTCTTTCCTTTGCAAGAAGGACGTTTTTGCTGTTTTGCTGACCGGATACAGCAAGAGTCTAATCTACCAGTTAGCTCCGCTGGTAGCTAAGCTCTGGATACTTCACCCCGTGTATTGTTCTGATTGGTCGTAGTGTTATTCAATTGCTTGCAGTGATATTTTCAAATGTATGCTTGGTGCCGCCCCTCGAGTTGAGCCATTTTCATTACTCATGGCCAGATCCTAAATCTTTCTAGATTTGGGTCTGGATTTCCAGGCTAATTAAATGGCTGAATCTGATTCAGCTGGCTGGCACAGCAGTTTTCAGCTTTTTCTGCTGTTGCAGTGACACTGCAATTTCAAACCTTGATGCAATACCTTTTAAAAACACTGATACTGGCATTAATGGCATGAAGTTTATAATAATAAAGCACCAAACAGCAAACTGTGAGCAGCTGTTACCTTAGAAACTTGGCGGTGCAGCATGTAGACGAGGACCTGCTCCCTGTGTAGATATAAACAGCTCATTCAAAGGAAACAAAAATTTTCAGCTGATTAAACACTAAAGAAAACAGACTGATTCTATTATATTCCATTTCTGCCAATATATCCCCCTAAATTCTACACCGCAGCTTTTCAACAGTTAGACATGGCATCATATCTTTTGATGTGAAATATGCTTGATGAAGAGCTTTTGCGTTTTTTGAGGTTGGTGTGTGTGCAGCCTGTTTATACTGAGACTGTTTTACTGTTGGTTGCTCAGCAGTTTCTATAGGTGCTGCTGGACACAAAATATCGTCCCTATGATGGAAATTGACCACGAATGTTTGTGAGTGAGTGTTTTTATTGTAGTCTGTGATAAAACACCGTCCCATCCTCAGACTTACAGATGACAGGTTGAATGGTGAGGCGTGTTTTCAACATGGGCAGAGGGTCACGCTTCGTCTCCTCCATCAGTCAGCAGAGGTTTCTTTAAACCATGACCGAGGATCTTTCCGAACATCAGCAGAGCTAACTGCAGAGGTGGCAGGCCGTAAAGCGCTCCTGTGACTCAGTGTTTGGAACAGGCTGGCGTGTGAGGATTTATCGCTTCATGTTTCTTCATCTGTGCTCCTCCTCATCCTCTCCCTCCCTTTATCCCCACCCTAATCAAGTAAGAGACACCCGAATCTGTTCAAACAAACCCGTCAGACTCGCATCAGGTCGCTCTGCAGTCAGACCCTGGTGTGTCTGCAGTCTTCGCTTCACTCTGTTTATTGTCTTTGGACGGAGATGAAGCGATGCAGCGCGGCCAGACTGGGAACGCCAGCAGAGATGCTAACTGGGAGAGTCCTGCCAAATACTCACACCCAAGGGAGCCGTCAAACCAGAGCTGTAACTGCACACACTGCTGCTTCCAGCTCTGCTCTAACCACTCAGAACCCTTAAAGTCTTTTTTCCACATTGTCATTTTTCTCTGCACGCAGGGACACGTCTGTGAGTTCTTCTGCAGGAACCCTCCGGTCGTTTATAATCCGCTCTGTATATTTGTCTTTTCTTTCGCTCCTGACGCCAACTTTTCCCCCTCTGCAGTCCCTCATCGTCTCTCCTTCTTACCTTTCTCTGCTCACCTCTCCGTTCCTCTCTCCACACCACTAATGATCCTGTTAGTTAGATTGATAACCTCCTGCTGCAGGAAACAGACTGGGCCCTCTGTTTCCTGCTGTCCTGTCGCTCCAGAGGCTTTATTAGTTTAGAGATGGAGTCACAGTGTGTGTGTGTGTGTGTGTGTGTGTGTGTGTGTGTGTGCAGAAACAGTTTTCACCGGTTGTCAGCTGACTCCCGTGGGACTAATAACCTCAGGTTGTGCGATGTACATGTGAGTTTAGGTTTCAGGGAGTTATGACGTGTAGGATGCAGAGTCGCTCCTCAGTCAGTCTGAGCCTCTCGTATGCTTCACATCAGATATTTGTGTAATTGCACGAAATGCCAGAATTTGCTCTCCAATCTGAGGAGATCAGATCAGCGGAAATCTAATTCTGCCTCCCTCCCACCTCAAAGATGGGAGCTTCAGATTAGACACGTCTCTTCCCTGAATGAGAGTTTCTGTGTGAACAAGCAGGATCCTTTCACTGAGACATTCACTACTTTCTTGTAAAAAGTTAGATCAGTAGCAGCAGTGTCATGTCTGTGTGTTAGTTACAGACTTTGAGCCAGAACATGGTCAGATAAGCTTAGCATGAAGAGTGGAAGCAGAGCAAACACTGAGCCCAGCTCTGTCCAAAGCTAAAAATGATACCTACCAACACCAATTTGAGGAACTTGTATGTTTAAAGCAGAAAAATGTAAGAATTTGAAAATTCACTTTTGTCCTGCAGCTCTCCCCTCTCTGTCCGAAGCCCCTCCCACCAGACGACCATGGCCATATGCACACGTTCCACACAGTAACAGTGTTTCCATACACTGATTTATTTGATCTTATTTCATTGTAGAGCTCCTTCTGTTTATCAGATCACAAGTGAGACAAGAATTAGCTGCTAGCCACCCACTGTGGACTGATTCCCCAGGAGGAGAGATGGACCTTAGGTTAGTGGTTGTAGTGGCTTGAATTCGGCCAGCATAAACCCCCCAGTATCGGGTGTCTTAGAGGGCTGGTGGCCAGCAGCAGTGCAAGGTCTAACCTGTGTAACAGCAGCAACAGCAGCAACAGAAAGTTTGCTGATTCAGTCGTCCAGAGCTGGGGTTTGAACTGTCTGGATTAAGGTTGCTGCAACCACTGACTGGGGGTCTGTTTCTGCTGCCTGCTCTCCTCCTGTTGAGGTTGTTTGAAGTGGCGAGGAGTGAGGCGGAGGACACACTGTGATTCGAGGCTCTAGCTAACGTTAGCTACATAAACATGAATTTGAAGCCGCAGCTGTGAACCTTTGGCTCTGGTTAACAGAAGGTGTTTGTTTTGAATTGTCAGACTCCATTTAAGGGCCGTACACATGCGCGTCTTTAAGTGCCGAGGTCAGCCGCTGGTCGCTGCTCTTGTGCCTTTTCTGTGCCAGCTTTCAAGAGGATGGTTGCTTCTGAGGTTGCTAAGCAACCACAACAAGCACAGTGTCACAGCCTGTTTACCTGAAACCCTGAGGTCAGAGCTGATCTACTTCCTGTTTGTCTGTGGGACAGATGTGACGCTCTGACAGCTCTGCACTAACATGATCAACTCCTCCTCCATATTTATCAGACTGATATTTACTGATGAAGGAAAGATATCTGTCAGCTGTAATTGGTTGGACCTCGTCACATGACATGCGGTGTGTGCTGCTCTTATTTCACGGTGCAGCCGTCGCGCCCTGAAAAATAGGCACTCCGGTGTCGCTGTGGTGTTTAAGCGTGCCTGCCGCGCATCTTCGTTAAAAACAATGAGTCTGAGGGCATAAATAACGCAGCATGTGTACGACCCTCATGCTCTCTTTGATCAGTATATCTTCATTTTCTTGGGTTGCTTTGTAGTTTAGTCAGCTGTTGTCAATGCTGGAATAGCAGCTGCCTCTTCAAGATTCTCTGCCATGAATTGAGCTGTCACTGAAAGGACCTTCAAGCGCATCTGCAGTTTAGAACAGCCAATAGGAACGCCCTCTCTCTGAAATGACCTTTGATTGGCCAAGATCTCCAGTCATGGGCCAGATTTTCTTTTAGTACCTAAAGACTGTACTCGGCACAGTATAGTGGTCATGATAGTGATAATTGTATTATAAGAGCATTTGTGTAAACGTCCCTGTGTTTTGCCCCTTCAGATTAAAACCACTATGAAATGTCTGAGTGCATTTTTCGGTGACCTCTGCAGTCAGTCTTCTCCCTGTGTTTAACCATCTGTCAGCACTTTGTGTGAAACAGGAGTGTGTCGTCCTGTAAATCATGTTGATTGTACTTCACACTGTAATATAAACTCCTGTCTCCTCTCTCTGTTTCATGTCCCCTCTCTCTGTCTCTCCTGTCGTCCTCTGCAGGTCTGATTACAGTCCCCTGTCCTCAACCAGCAGTAAGTAACCCTGTGGTGACAGAAAACATTGCTAACAGTGACTCAGACACTCACAGCTCAGGTCCAGGACTTTATTTCTCTGAAGCCTCCGACAGACTGTGAGATGTTATCAGTCCTCTAAGTTTAGTGCAGCTACACTGTGTCACATGGATCTAATAAACTTGGGTGTGACATCAGGTTTGATGTCTGCAGACTGTATGATGACAGCGCCGACTGAATCACAGGATACGACATACGATGTAACAGCTTCACATACTGAGTGATGCTGCTCAGGTCATTACTGCTCCAACTGTGAGGCACAACATAGAGGCTCACAATAATTAATTAATGATTATTATTATCATTAATGAAAATAAGATGCCCAAAAAAATGTCGATAAAATGTCTAAAAAATATTTTTAAAATGTCAGAAATGTGTATGCTCTGATGATGAAGGTCAAGTAGACCGAAAACTTAACAAATAAAACGATAAGTGTGTGGAAACCTTTTTTTACCAAAAAATGTTGGTAAAATGTCAGGAAAAAAAAAAATTGTTTGAAAAATATATTTAAAAAAGTCTGACAAAATATTCACAAAATGTCCAAAAAATATTGAAAAAAAAAAGTCTGAAAAATGTTGATAAAATGTCTAAAAAATATATTAAAATGCCCGAAAAAAAAGTCAGAAAAATATTTTTAAAAATGTCTTTCTTTAAACGTCTGAAAAATGTTGATAAAATGTCAGAAAAATAAAATTAAAAAAAATCCTAAAAATGCCAAATGAAGGTGAAGGTCAAGTAGACTGAAAACTTAACAAATAAAGCGATAAGTGTGCGGAATCCTTTTTTTTTTTGTTTTGTTTTGTTTTTTTTTTAACCAAAAAATGTTGATAAAATGTATGAAAAAAAGTCAGAAAAATATTTTTAAAAATGTCTAAAAAAAATATTTTTTAAAAGTCTGAAAAATATTGATAAAATGTTTAAAAAATCTCCTAAAAATGTTGAGAAAATGAAATGAGATGTGGAAACTCAGCGACATCATGAAAAAGATGGAAGAAACAGGATCCGTCAGGTCATCAGACAGGTCGGGGACAAACATTATTATTATCACATCATCATCATCATCATCATCATCATCATCATCATCATCATCATCATCATCCCAGTTTACAGATCTACTTCCCACTTTACTTCCTGTTCTCACCATGTACTTGTTTGCCTGATAATCTGGATTGTCATGTGGATAATCTGGATTAGCTGCTGGTTTGTGTACGACCTGTCGGATCATCTGATTGTTTCTTACTTCATCTGACTTTTTAAAAATGTCACTGCATTCACACATTAAAGAAATAACTTCTGAAATAAATGAAGACAGTATTAGTGTTGTCACATTCTCGGAACCCATCAGCTGTATTCGGCGTCTGACTTCTGGCAGACGGCGATACAGCCTCTGGGGGCATTCCGGTTTGATTTGGGCGGAGGAGGTGAATTTCCGTTTCCGACTTCCGTTTATATATAAGTAAATATGCTGAACCATTGGGATGGATTCAGAGTTTGCAGTGACACCAATTACGTTCCACCTCGTTAGTTCACCACACGGACTGCAGCCGGCTCAAACGTGATTGGTCAATATCACGCAGACTACAAACAGCCTACAACCAGAAACCAGGGCTCTTCCGCTCTTCTTCCAGAGGCAAGATCTCCGGGGTTTGCCTACAGACTCTACATTCACTGAATGTAGAGTCTGTATATAGAGACCAGTGCTGTCATAGCAGATGGTCACAACAACAAAAATAAGATGCACTTTGTAATAAAGTGGAATTATTTTTTTTGAAGGGATGAGCGGACAAAGTTAACTGTGGTGGATTTTAATTTACAATATTTGCATTTAACTTTTGTGATGCTGATGTTGATACCATAGTATGATATACAGATATATAGATGACATATGATAAATTATAATATATTAGCACTGTCATGGTTCAGTTGATTTTGACGTTTCAGTCAAATTGATGAAAGTGATTACATTTCTTACTAAACCATCAGAAATCATCTTCCTGAACACACACTGAGTTGTAGATCAGTTACTGTTATTTGTGTGTCATACCTGCCAACAGAGCTCTAACTGTGTGCTCGCCACTCGCTGCTGAGTTACCCATCTCTTGCTTTTGTATATATAGAGTCAGAGTGTGTGTGTAGTTATTGTGTGAATGTGTGTATCTGTGTTCACAGAGGTCGTGACCTCTCTCCAGTCTGGTTGCCAGGTCTCTGGGCCTTTCACAATGGGAGGATTATATCCAATATTAGCTCATTAATCTGTTCTACAGGAAACGGCGTTATCCCACCCGCACCACACCCGCATGGCAGGAAATGTAGGACCCCACACACACACACACACACACACACACACACACACACACACACACACACAGATCCAGCAGTGTGTGGTTTGGTCTTTTCCCGTCATGTATCCGTTGTCTTTCCTGTATCAGATGAGCGTCTGCCCACTATTGTCTCTGTCTCCACTGGAGGTCAGGATGGGAACAAACAACCCCATCACCAGGATAAATGTTGGCCCTGTAGTTTCTGCACACTTTGGATGTGTTACATTTGTAGGTAATAATGTAGCAGATAAGTTGAAACTCAACGTTTTTACCTTTCAAGAACGCTGTGGTTAATGTGTGGTTAGGTTAATTTACAAAAACCATTTTGTTATGGTCAGGAGAAGATCACATTTTGGTTTAAAATACATGGTTTTGGTGGCACATCCCCGCTGGTAATGCAGCAATGTCATTAAAAAATATCTGCTTTTCTTGCACTATCCCTGCAGGAAATGCAGCAATGTTCTGGTAAAAAAGAACTGTTTCATGGCGTTGTCCCGGCGAGAAACGCAACATTGTCTTGCTAAAAAGTAAATGGCTTATAATGGGACTTTCCCGGCAGTAAACACAGCAATGTCTCGGTACAAAAACAACTGTTTTGTTGTTTGTTGGTCTCAAACATTGCTCTGCAGCTTGGTAGACATCGTAGATGTCTCACCATCCACCATCCTCTCCACCTCCCGATGACACTCAGCGCAGATTAGAAACGCTGATATGATATGTATGAAATATACAAATGTAAGGAATTCATGGTATGCAGAAATGTATGATGCCAACTTGTTTGTCCAGGCTGCAACAGAACGAGCGCACGTTTGTCAGAAAACACAAGAACTTTAAACACAGTATATAGATAAAGGTCAGCAGAAAGACACCACTGGACTAGAATTGTTTTACTGTAGGACTTCATATGATTTAGGAATTCACTCGTGTGTCACTCAGATTAACAGACTGAAACTCAACCAAAGGATGAAGACGTAATGAAGTTGTAATTTAATTTGCACCATTTGTCCATGGAAAATAATCCTCTGTAGTTTTTGTCCAATAAAGGAAGAAAAGAAATAAAGATGACGCTCTAAATGACTGAGATGCCGGGTGACTTGCTGTGTGTCGAGCCTTTATTGCCCCTCAGGGAATGACTCGTCTTTGACCTGATAGTTCAAGTTAAGGACATGGCAGGATTCCCTCAGGGGCGGCAACCGTGATGATCTATGAAAGTATTTAGAATCACAGGAAGTCTTCGGGTAGTTCTTTGTCTAGTACTGGTCTGAGGTGAAACTGTACGCGACACACAGACAGACATTGACTGAGGCTGCTTCTTTCACTTTGTCTGAGGCTCACGCTGACGCTGACAGAGAGGACGGGACAGATGGATGCAAACTGCTGTGTTGACAGATTGTCCAAAGATGTGGAGAGATGATGAAGAGGACTCATCTGTCTCAGCGCTGTGTGTGGCTGCCTCCTTTCTGTCCCCAATGTGTGTGTGTTCATGCACGTCTGTGTGCGCTGATGAGTTCACATGCAGAGGTGCATGCAGCATCGGTCTTACCGCCTCCTGCCTCCACAGAAGTATATTTAGGTTCTGGTAGAGAGCGTTCTGGTGTTTACACAGGTGGTCCTAACCCCTGACCTTTGACCTCAGCTCAGACTGGCCATAAGCCTCCTGCAGACAGACTGAGATCATGTTAAAGCTCCACCGTCAGTCTGACCCAGGTTACACTGGACTGTAGGTCCTGACTGAAACTGGAGGAGTTAAATGGCTGAAACTGAAACGGTATCAACATGTTAGCGGTTGTTAAGGACAGTGAGTCTGTTATTGACTGCTGCAGCTGAGGGGGAGCACTGACAGTTGTTGACTAGAGACAACAGTTTGTCACCCATTTGAAGCTTCTGTAAGCCGAGCTGTGCGACCGAACACATTCAGAGTATTACGGAATTCAGTGAAACTCGCTTGAATCAAAAACAAAACTACAGGCAAGTCATTGCTGTGTTTTCAACAGAATTTTAGCTACCAAATGTGATTTTTCCAGTTGAGATAGTGTCTTAAAAACAGTTGTTTATTACGGAGACATTGCTGCGTTTTCTGCAGGAATAGTGTGACAAAAATGGGGTATTGTTTACTGATAAAATGGTTGTTTTTATATCAAGACCTTGCTGCCTTTCCCACCTGGATAGTGCCACAAAAAGTGCCTCTTCAGTTCAGTACATGATCTTTTCTCCAAACCATAGCCAACTGGTTTTTGTGCCTAAGCCTAACCACGCGTCAGCGACAGCATTGTTGAAATGTCAAAAATGTAGAATTTCAACATTTAACATATCGGTGGTTTGCAGAAACATACAATGCCAGCATTATTTTCCTGGCAATCTGGTTGCTCAGAATTAAAGCTGAAAAGCAGAACTTGTAGTTGCAATAATTTCATGCAGCAGCAGTGACTGAAAACAAAGTGTAATCTGTCTTTGATGCCGTCTGCTGCAGATGGTGTGTGTGCAGCATTTTTTGTACCGTCAGTAGAAGGTAAATAGGTTTTGATTCAAGAGGGTTAAACTGAGCTCCACCCCAAACGCTTTATCATACCACCCCACTTTCTATTGGTCGCAGCAGATGAGTGTCCATTCAGCGTGAGTGACCTGTGACCTTTCCCCCAA